GCTTTGTTGGATTCGCGCAGCGTTGGCGTTAGCGGTGCTCCCAAACGGGTGGAGAAGGCGAAAATCGCTTTGATACAGTTTCAGCTGTCACCTCCTAAAACAGACGTATGCGTGGCATGCCGGGTGGCACCGCAGTGGTATTTCATAACCTATTACATCTAGATGGAAAACCAAGTGGTGATCACTGACTATACTCAGATGGATCGAGCGCTTCGAGAGGAACGCGACTATCTCCTGAACATATGCAAGCAGATCAAGAAAGCCGGCTGCAATGTTCTGTTGATCCAAAAGTCAATCCTGAGGTAACGTACTGTGGTGTCGATCTTCATGGTCTCTGTCAATTATTGAATTTCATATCAGCCTGTCGTTGACCCATCCTTTATAATAAACGCTTCGTTGACACTGTGGCGGGTTGTACGTTCTAGAAGTCTTCAGCCGTAATTTACAGCGTTGGTCAGTAAGACTGATTAGCGGAAGTTCGATTGCATACGACTAAGAAACTTTACCGTAGCGCCACTTTTCAGTTAAAATTTAAGAATAACTAAAGAAGACCTTTGTAAGACTGTCGAAACACTAGAGTTAGGAAAAGGCTCTTAGTCGCTTTCGAAAAAACTATTTTTGTGTTCAAAACCGTTACATTGGAAGGATAATTTTTTATTGTATTTGGCGCATGATGAATCGTGATGAATTTTTGATGGTTAAGAAATAGCTTGCTCGGTATTGACTGTAAAATCCCGCACCAGTATATGTGACAGCTGGACTGGTACAATTCCTGTACTTAAGGATTGTGCGAATATGCTTAAATCTCGTTTACTTACAGGTTGCTGTTATTGTTCTGTCCGTCATTAAAGGCTAGCAGAGTAACCAAAATTCATGTCTAGCGTTTAGATATGATATCTCAGATTGATATTAGGCGATGTTCATGCCTGCGGAAAGGGTCATGTTCCTTGCCTCCAGCAGTTCTGCCTCAGAGAGTTGTTTCCATGTTTGTATTGCCTCC